TTTTGAAATGTGGGCATGCTGCGAAAAGTATTTCTGGACTTCTCCTAAGACGATCACTTTTAACGGCAACGTCAGACTTCATTCACACATCTTTTTTTAAGCTTAGCGTGCCACTAGGATTGACCACTGTCCATCTGGATTGGAAAACTGATTATGCCGATCAGTCGGTATTGTTCTACGTGGCTCAGGAAGCAGTACCCCTCGGATACATCATTATAGGATTTTCTGACCATGGATCTTACAATAATTCTGATGTTTGCATCTATAAGGAAGGGAAACTTAGGGTGCGTTGAAGCAAAAAAACCTCTTCAGAGAAGTAGAATGTTGCCCAGTTTCAGGATGGTTATATAGATGGAAACTTCCAAATACACTTCGACCGCAGTCAAGACTGTCAGTTAGAGAAGAAACAGTCCAATAGATTTACGTTTCGGAGACGATTTGCAACCTGCGATACGAGAGATTTCGCATTTGAGGTGAATGACCGCCACCTGTTATGGAAGGAGCATTAGTGCTCTGTATTTAGACAGGGACGACGCAGTTCATCATCGCAGGTGGTTTCGAATTCACAAGCGATTTCAAAAGTGATCATGTCATGAAGGTAAATACCGTCACTATGCTATCCCGTAGCATGAGCCCATTCGTCTTTGAATTTCCGAACAATAGGAAATGCGCTTCGCTGTCCTGATTGACAGGGATGACGCAGCTGCACCTCCAGAACCCGACGGAATTCACTTCAGGGTGTTGGCTGATGATGCACTTGTAGGTCAAAAGCCTACTTTCTGAATAAAAGATATTCGTCATTTGGTTTTTAGATACCGAATGTGGTAACAACATACTGGTGTATAATAGAAAGAATACCAGCAGAGCTCAGCAATCGAAAGCATCATATTGTCCAAGTATGATGACCTATGTAGTGCGATAATAATCGTGTCTGATCCTGGATCTGTTCAGATAAATCCATCCATTAAGAAAGGCAATGAGAACCTTGTACATCATATGGAAGTGAGTTTATGATAGATATCGTCGATTCGTGACACGCAAAGACTAGACGCCCTTGC